GCCTCTTCCCCACAAACCACGTCCCAACAGGACAGCGTTGGCTACAAGACGGAGCGAGATGCCCGCGGCCACCAAGAGCGTGGCGAGGACCGGTGCCCAAGGAACAGCACCGGGACCCGACTGCGGAGTGCTACGGAGTGACAAGAGAAACGCTCGCAAGGTGACATCCCCGTTCAGTGAAGCACCTGGGAGGTGGGGGACTGTCCCAGAGGTGCCTGCTGGAAGGAAGCGGTGGCGTGAGCAGAACAGAGACCAGGGGCAAGGTACTGAGGACAGGTCCTCAAGTGAGGAAGGGGGTCAGGCCTGGCCGGAGCACTCTGAACCCGTTCCACCTGAAGATGCTGGTGTTGCCAACCAGGCGCATCACCCTGCTGGTGTCTGTGAGAACATGACTGGGGTCGGGGCCCGAAGACCAGTAAGTTGACGAGCAGCAAGAGAACCTGGCAAACGCTCTAGGCTCCTGAAGAAGCGGAGGGCTCTAGGGCTGAAACCCACCGGCCCTGTGCTATGGGGAGGTGCTATCCTAGGCCTTACGGTCACCAGTGGTCGCCCGTATCGGCCTTGCTGTCGTGGCCTGGCTCTCCACTGGTTCCCTTTGACTCACAAAAACAAAGACGGCCACACCTTTAAAGAATCTTGCACTCTTGGCTGTAACTGCATACCCAGCAGGTGCGATCGTGTGTCCACAAGGCATCCACAAACATTACATCGGCAAAGGAAGGTGTTTCGCTTCCTTTTCAACGTACAGGCGTTATTTAGGTAACGTGCGGCAGCAGTAGGGTGCTGAGATGGGCAGGCAAGATGCCCTAAAATCTAAGAGCTACTGCCATGCTGGACCGTGCCTGTGTCCACACGATTTGTTCTTGAGTGACTACTGTAGGGATTACTAAACCTTTTTCTGCAAAGGGTCAGGGAGTAGATATTTTAGGCTGGGTGGGTCCCAGAGTCTTTTTTTCCCCTCTTTTTCTTTTAATGTAACCCTTTAAGAAAAGGTAAAATCCACTTATTCATTAAAACCCATTACCCAACCCCTGGCTTACCAGCAGAGCACCTGCCTGCCTTCCTTCGGTGGGCGGTCTACACTTCCCCGCAGCCTGCACGTTGGGCACCCTGAGCTAGACCTCCCGCTGCAGTGGGGAAGTGGCTGTGCACACCTCAGGCCGGTGGAACTGCATGCCTGCCCCTCTGGAAGATGCTAGGTAGGGCGTTTATGGAGCATTTAGCAGAAACCACCAAGGCTCTGGGTAAAGGCAGATCAGGGCCGGGAGGTAATGGAAGGGACTGACCAGCTCGGGCTCAACTGTAAGGGCCAACATGTGACCAAGGACAACCTCTGCCAAGTGCCCTGGGGCCCGATGCCCTCCCTGAGCGGGCGCTGCATCTGAGGTCTGGGTTTCCACCAAGCACAGCTCTCTCTAAAGGGAAGAGGGGACCCTCGAGTCTTCCGACCCATCCACTGTAGGATACGGGGCTCTCCTGAAATGTAAGGATGGACTGCAGGGAAGGCTGTCTCAAAGGCTTCCCGTAATTCTGCTTGTTTTAAATACTAAACATTTTCCTTTTTGTCTCTGAAAAGGATTTGGGAGCAAGCATGAGGAAGAGTACTTACTGCTGGGATGGAAGGCTGCCTGTTGATGTGCCACAGAGAGGCATGATTTTGTATCTGACACCCATTTTCCCTAGTATTTCTATGGATATCAAGTCATAAGAGACATAAAGGAGTCAAGAATCCAAAATGGTAACTGTTTCAAACAACAAGAACAATCACTGCTTCTGGGCCACTGACAAAACGGTTTTAGCTGACATTGACATTCAACTTCGTTTTGAAAAAGAGCATGGGAACTAATCCTCGAGTCTCTGGGGCAGGGGAGAGACTGACCCCTGGGACGCTAACTCAGGTGGATAACAGGTTGTAAGCCGTAACTTCTCAGTCACACTCGGGTCCCAACCTTGTAACATTCTTTTTAAAAAATTTATTAATTTATTTAGTTCTATTTGTTATTATTATTTTAAAACTTGACCAGAAAGAGACAGAGAGAAAGAGAGAAAAGGAAAGTGAGAAAGCAAGCTGCCAGGTCCAGGACTCGAATCACGGGCAGCCATGTGGGAACCCAGTGCCTTTACCCACCATGGCACCTGCTGACTCCGTAACATTCTTTTTGAAAGCACTTCAAAAGCCTGTTTTTTCTTTGCTGCCTTACCTTTAATAAAATTATTTTGAAAGTATGTGACTGAAAATTTTTATATCTATGCCGACATATTTTCTATTTTTCTAAAAGTTGATGAAAAAGTCATATATAAAAATAAACATTTTGGGTTTGAGATTAGACTGCTTTCCCTCTGTGAAAAGACCTTTTTCATAACTAAATGTGACTTATTCAGACGATTCAAAGTCAAGTAGTTTCAACCAATTTTAAGCAAAGTCTTGGTTTCCTTCAGTAAGAAGGGATACCAGAGTCAGTTGTGTGACTACGGCTGGATGAGTGATGAGAGCCCTGGGCCGCAGTGCAGTTCTGAACCTGCTCCCAGGCTGCCGCGCCGTGGGCGCAGCCCCCCCCCCCCCCCCCACCCCCCCCCCGCCCCCCAGATGGGTAATGCTAAGGAGGCCAGGACTGTGGCAATGTGCCAGGTGCCTTTTGCAGCAAGAAACAAAAAAATACAAAAGAACAAATTGAGATAAGGAAGAAGGGGCCAGAATGAAAAAGCACAGAGAACAGCAGACCAAAGGAGAAAAAATAAATTGGGGAAGATTTCTAAAAATTGATTTTCTTAAGCAGAGATGAAGCAGCCTTTAAGAGGTCCGCATGATATTTTCAGCTTGCTGTAACTACTCAACTCTTCCCACGGGCTGGGAAATCATCAGCCGTGGACAGTGTGTAAGAAAATGGGTGCGGCTCTGTTCCAGTAAGATTTTGTTTTCAGAAACCAGCAACCAGTCCAGTTGACAGACCCTTAATAAGTCATTGGAAAGCCAAAAGGCAGCCTGCACTGGGTCACCTAAAACCAACAGGAGCCTGGTGGCTCCCTGGGCTACGGGCCAGCACCTGGCAACAGTCCAGCCTCGTCCCAGGTGCTGCGACAAGCGCCCAGACTCGCTGCTGGCAACACCACAGCATTCCTGGCTTGCGTCACATCCCAGGCAGTCCCTTCCTACTTGCCTCTGAGGTCTACCATCATTAGGAACAGTGGCCACAAGAACGACAGCTTCTACCGCAGCACAGAGCCCACGCCCAGGAGAGGCCAGTGCAGCACGCGGTGTGGAGGGGAGCCCATCAGAAAGCACCCGTTACAGAAAGGGAGGGCCGGCAATCTCAGGCGCGGAAGACACAGCCTCAGACTACTGCTCTAGGTAAGACTGTGCAGAAGTCCCTAACAAGGACTCCGAAGGGCTAGTGACTACTGATGTTACCGCCTGCGCGTACCGTGCCACCTCGGGGGAACAAAGGTTTGCGGCCTTCCAGTTGCACCACAAGATGGGTAAATGTCTGAGAAGTGCTGGGAGAGGCCTCTGGACCCCACTGAGGGAGCAGTCTCCATGTTGTCCTCCCGCACCCTGGCAGCAGGGGCAGAGCTCAGTGATGACCTCCCAGGCGTGTTCCAGCTCCTCCAGAAACTCAGAAGGCGTATCAGTGTCTTCTGGTGACGGACGTCAGCTCCGGCACTGCGGCAGTGGCAGCGCTGGTGTGGGCTGGCAGCAGAATCTCTGACTTGGAATTCAGCCTGTGGGACAGACAGCTTTGTGTCTGGTGGCAAGCCCTACGTGATGGCTATAGTAAGAGAGTCTTCGCAAGGAGCGGAAAATGGGAGGATGCCTGAGTCCACACCATGCCTGGGTGACAACTCTGCCAACACCTGCGGATGGTACGAAAGGGCCTGTTCAGAGCTGGCCTTGAAGTTTGGTTTTCGTTTTCTTTCCTCTACTGACAAAACTAACTGAATCGGCAAATGTGAGATTCAACAAATATAAACACAAGCCTAATATGTAAGTGTCCTAGCTATGGAGATTCTCCATCTACGTAAATGTAGTCACTTTGGAAAGTGTGAAGCTGATTTTAAAGATGACCCACTGCATTGTTAGGTGTGTGGAATAAACAAACACACGTGGAACCCATGTCTCAAATGCAGCCTAGAACGGCAGAGGAGACTACTATCCTGCAGAGCCGCTCCAATGAAAAGCCACCTAGCACAGGCGTGGAATGATTAACTGGGAACCAGAGAAGGTCACCACCCCTCACCTCGCACCTCTCCCCAACTAGTCCAAGCACCTGCCAAGGGAGTCTGTCAGCCGCCGGGGCCCCTCTTCTGTGTGGGAATCAGCACACCTGACACCGGCAAATGTCAGCTGTTTACGTCATCACAAAAACAAGCTCCAGTGACAACTATATGAAAAGGCATTTTTTAAGAAGACTAAGTGAACCCACTCAAAATATATTAATGCTTCTGTGCAACTTAATGCTGAAGAAGGGTCGCCAACACACACACTCAGCAGTTTCATTAACATAGGTAGCTCCTGAATAGCCAAAGTCAAAGAAAAGGAAAATTAAAAAAAGAACTCACACGATAAAGGAGACATTAAAAAAACATCAGGCCTTCATTGGAAACAGTGAGCTTCACTATCTATGAACTTCAACCCAATTCCCAATTCCTTACAAATAATGTTTATCTCCTGTCTTTCACAGTTATCAGAAGTTTGCATTATACGAAGCCAATCTTTAATAGAATGGGCTAGAAGGCCTGTTTTATCATGATTTGCATAAAAAAAAAAAAAAGCCCATCTGGGTCTATCTAAGGAGATCTCAAACAAGGTAAATGGGAAACTCTGTAAAGAAAAACTCTGTATGCTGCCCATACACGCCTACTTTGGTGACAGAACGTGCCAAAGCCGGGCCAGGCTTCAACCACTAGACCTTCCCTGGCAGATGGGCTCACAGGAAACGTCCCGTACCCGATGGGCCGTGAAGAAGCCATACCACAGCCCTGAGTTAAACCCAACGCACCCGTCTCAGGCCTCACTCGGACACATCAAAGACTGCAGTTCTCACTCCCATGCCACGGAGCGAGCCTGGCACGATACTCACAGGAGTGACACGAACATTTGACTGTGAGGCTGGCACTAAGGAGGCAGAATGAACATCCTCTCCCACAAGTCCCTTCACATCTGAGCATTCCGGGGGGACGTCAGCTCCGGGGTAGGGAGTGTGGGCCCACTAGGAGAGGCTGGAGCTGCTTCTATCCATAACGTGCTGTTTAGAACATTCTACAAGAATTCGGTGTCAAAGTGGTACTGGGGACGCTCACAGACCCACTGGGCCACTTTAAAACCATCTGGCCTGTCTGTGCCAGTTACTCAGCTCATGGACACCCTAGACTGAGGGACATCTGCGGCTGGTAATCACATGCAAATGCACCCAAATGTATGTGCACACACATACTCTTAAGCTTTTCTATTACTGGAACTAACATTTTGACTTTCTTTGAATACGGAAGTTTTCTGGGTAAGAAAGAAAGAAGAGTCACTGTCACCCTAGTAGTCAAAACACAGTTACACTTGGAAAAAAAAAAAATCCCTCAAGTAGGATGAAAACCTTGCTAGAGCGCTAGCAACCTTACAAGGCCAAAAATGAAGACCGTAAGAACTAGGAATACAGCTTGGGAACGCAAATAATTTTTAGAGGTCAGAATTAACACTGGCGACATACCCTTTGTCCCACGGGCACACTATTTAGGGTACTTTTTTTTCCAAATGACAAAAGATCAAGGTGAAAGGAGTGACCAACAACAAATATGATCTTTTAAAAGGGAGGAACAGAAATATTAATCTTTTATAATGACTATAAATCCTCTGCAATCTCCATATACCATGAAAATGATTTGGCTTAGCTATCAGATACCATTTAAACAGACAGACAGGACAGAGGGCGGGCACTGCTGGGGCTGAGAGGGCACCTGCTCACGGACAGACGTTGCAGGTGGCTGCTGGAGCGCTCCTCTGGTGTGGGATGGTCTTCTCGGCTACGGTACAAGTGCTTGTGCATCAAGTATAAAATACAAGCCTTTAATCACATAGATCAGCTTTTTAGCTTTTGTAAATTTAAAAACAAAAAGGATAAATAAGGCACTGTACTTTTAAAAACGAAAACTGCTTGGTTCCAAGTTTAAAACCCAAGGAACAACCAGGATATAATATATAACTTCCCTTACTCGGTCTCGGAGAAGGACTCTGCAAGTTCCCTTCTCAGAGCCGCATTTTGTGACATCTCAAATCGTGGTGTTCTCGATCAACTGTAGATTTGAAAGGCTTGATAAGCTTATAAAAGCAGGTTTAGTTAATGCAAAATAAAAGGTTACTTCTATGGAAAGTCTCACTCGGTGGCAGCCTTCCAATCACTTGGCGTCCAGGCGCCTCCGCTTGCTGTGGGAAGGGTCCAACCTTGCCTTCAGCTTCCGCTTCCTCTGGGCCGCACTGTTCTGCGGGCTTTTCGCCAATGGTCTGGCCCGAGCCTTCCCACTGGTCTGCTTCCTGTGCGTGACTTTCTGGGACCTGGAAGACGCCTCGCTTGCCACCTTCTGTTTCGCAGGTTTTGTCAGTGTGTCTGAGGTGGGCTGGGCAGGTCTTCTGTTTGTACTCTCCTTTTCTTTCCTGGAGGGAGGGCAGCTCTTCCCAGGGGACTTCTTAGGGGCCTTCACTCTATTCTCTTTCAAAGACACCTTTTTGGGCAGCTGGCTGTTTCTGTCCCTCGCAGCTGGCTTCTTGGCAGAAGGGGTTTTGGTGGTTGCATCAACAGGCTTGTCTCTGGAGGCTTTCGCTGCTGGTCCCTTGTCCTGACTGTCCTGGGCACTGCTGCATTCTGCTCTCTTGCGTCTGTTCTGAACCCCCGCCCGGGGCGAGGTCTCAGACGGCTGCTTCCCTTTCCTTCCCTTGGTTCCTTCAGTGCTCCTGGACTTCACAGGAAAGCCATCCGCGTCCACCTGCAGGGCGAGCTTGGGAGACATTAAAGGGTTGATGCAGACGCCAGTCCGATTCTGGTTC